GTGCCGTAACTCTGAGGTAGCTTTGCTGCAACCAGCGTTAAAATATTGCAGACAGTGATGTGAGTCAGAACGTGTAGCTGTAGCAGGAGAGGTTACCTTGTGACATTATTAGCAAAGCTTGCTCAGAAAATGAGTTATTCTATCTCATTTTTCAACTTTCTAATTTAGATAAAAAGTAGGTCTCATGTGGCTTTGACTTTTTGGCATGCTACTTTTGACCACCCAAGTTGTCTTTCTTCAACAACGAGGAAAATGTCGGTTTAGATTCTAGGTCTCCTTTAACGGTTATGTGGAGCCCTGTGGGGTGCTCTTTACCTGCTTCAGGGCTGTTAGCTGTTTTCTATGCTGGTAGCTAATGAAAGGCTAGCAGTTAGCTTTTTCAGTTTGTCAACCTTCAATAAAAAAACACAAATAGAAGGGAAAAAAAGAAGTTTGCTTTTCTGTTGGCATCTCAGTGGAGCCTGGAAGTAGAAGACAGAGTAATGTATTTCGAGCTGAAGCAAAGAGTTAAAATCAAAGTGAATATTGGCACAGCATACACTAGTTTGAAGAAGCTAATGGAGGCTATAACAGGGTATATACAGCAATCCTTAAGTAAAATTTACTACTTTTTAATACTTTTTTTTACTACCTTCAGAATTTTTTTAAAACCATCACAACACTAAATTGCAAGTGTTAATCAGCGACCTATTTACACATATTTTAACATATATAACATACAAAAAGAATAAACTTAGAGACTCACTGATGTTGACAACGTATTGCACATATTTATTTTACTTAGAAAATAAGCCAGGCACTTCTGTTCAGCAGTTCAGACAGTTGACCACGAGGCCTGAAAAGATGCAGAACGACCACTGAATATGACGTCATCATTATGTGACCGGATATGCTAAAGCAGGGCTGCTCGATTATGGCAAAAACAATAATCACGATTATTGTGACTGAAATTGAGATCTCGATTATTTAAGACGATTTTTCAATTTATGTAGATTTTTATTTTTTTATTTTTATTCAGTCATAAAACTGCTCAGGGCACAATCAGGGCAAAAATAAACAAGAAACAAGATGATCACTAAAAGAACTCCTGATTCCCAGGATAAAAAGACCAATATACTTATAGCTCATAGTTTATGACCCAAGGGCTATAGACCTTGGTTTAACTCATTTAAGTCTAACCAGTACAGACCCAAATAATGTTATCTTGCAAATACTGACAGCAAGAATTATACAGTGGCATTTATAACAAATACATGCAAATAAATTGATGTTCACAAAATGTTGCATAACATTTAGTCGTGTCAAGGTGCTGTAGGAGAGTGCACTAGCACTGTGTCCTCAGAGAGATTAGTTATTAGTTATCAGCGTGAGGAACTTATTTCTACCTTATTTATAAACTACTTATTTACAAGTCCATCAGTTAATATAATAATTGTCCCAACCACAGCTGCACCCCCACCCCCCAACCCGGTCTCACAGCAATCAGGGGCAAGCTGCACGTGTGTTTAGCACGCCGCACGCGCACATTTAGCCGTTTTTAGTGGCTCAGGAGTCCGCAGGTACGGTGTGTGTGTCACTCACTCTGGTTACTCCAACAGGAAACCGGCTCTGAGAGCTGTTTCTTTAGCGACTGACACATCACTACATCATTCCCTTTCCTAATGTCCTGAAGAACGGTCCGGAGCGCAGGCGGAGTGTTTAGTTAACCTGCAGGAAATGTCGACGACAGTTATCCAGAAAGTAGCTAAGGGTTACCAGAGATGTTTCTGAGGTGTTCGCTAGGTACTTTTAAGATTTAAAAAGTCAAGAAGGGGGTCTGAAAAGCTGTTAGAAATAGCGTCAAAGTCGCTAAGTTGGCAACGGAGCGCTTCATTTGAAACTCAGGGCAGCTCAAGTGGGAGGAGCAAATAATCGGCTTGTTTTATTTTTATAATCGTTCAAAACATTTCATTCGGAATATATTTCCATGTCGATGTTCAGAATACGACATCTGATAGTCTGAAAAAAATAATACCTAATTTGGAAAAAATAATACCTCTGAGACCAAATTTAACACTTTTAATGGCCTTAAATTTGACTATTTTTATTTATCACTTTTTAATACTTTTTAAAACCCCGCGGACACCCTGTATAAAACAATGTACTGATAGTGACCTGGCTTTGTTGCTAGTAGATTTGTAAACGTTTTGTCCAACAGTGTGAATCTTTTTACTTCGTGGCTTATTTAGTAAGACTTGGCTCATGTTGGTGATGGCTTGTGTAAGTGCCATCTACAGCGCGCCGCTGCAGGGTTGTGTACGACAGTTGTATTCCATTATCAACCAGCGAGACGGAGAAGCTGGAAACTGTTTAATGTTACTTTAGAAAATGTCAATATTGTGTTCAATTTAAGACAGCCTGGTATAAAATACAGTAAATATCCCTATAGCAATTAGAAATGTGATGTTTTTTTTTGTTTGGATTAACATAAAAAAAACAGGCAAATACCATCTGGCTTTTAGTTTAGCAATTTCTTGTATCCCTGTCTCCCCTGTATTTTGAAGTATATTGCATTGCCAGGCTCTTGGCATTAAACACACCTAATCCTTACACAGATATGTAGAAAAATACCCACAGTCTGAATCTCGTCTCTACGCAATAGATTTTTGCTGATTGCCATTTTCAAAGCAAACCAGCTACTTTTCCTTGAACTTCTCATTTTTAAATATAAACTAGGATAAGAAAGCAAAGACTGGAAAGAAAAATTGGATATGGTAAAGGAATAAAAGAAAGAAATCATAAGGCCTAGTTGAAAACATTTGAACAAAAGAAGCAGATAAGGGACAAGAAACATTTGACACCCAGCTTCTTACAGAACACTGTGGTAGAAAAATAAACGAGACGATAAATGGTTCGAGGAACAATGACTCACAGGTAAATAAATCCCCAAAACATCTTTTAAAGCAGAAAACTAGGATTTTTCTAAATAATTCAAATGTACAAAACTTACAATGTATGTATTTTATTTTATTTAACCTTTATTTAACCAAATGACTCCTTCTCATTTACGACGACAATCTGGCCAAGAGGCAGCAGCAACAGAAATATAGTTAGCTTTACACCAAAGAAGAACAAATAAGATAAAACATACAAGATACAAGATTTTTGAAAGCAGTTCTATAAATTATGTCACCGTAATCTAAGACTGGAAGGATTGTCATTTTGACCAAGGTTTCCTTTGCAGAATGAGTAAAGGATGACCTGTTGTGGTACAGAAACCCAATTCTTGACTTGGCTTTTGAAAGTGAATTATTGTGATTTTCAAATGAAAGTGTGCTGTCAATAGGGGTGAACCTGGACAATTAAGTTGTTTTAAACAAAACTATATTATTTTATTCAAATTACTGTCTAGCGTTGCCTCTCCTACCAGCAGGAATCTGCAGTATGCAGCACAAATAAACTATAATACAGTAGAAAAAACTAAAAGCATTGATAAAAATGTACTAAAACTGCACAAACTCTGAGAGGAATGTGTATTTGTGGTAAGAAGAGAAAAAAAAATCACACCAATGGCCTTTTGAGAATTAAGAGCTGTGAATTTCTTTCTCAGTGCAAAGGAGGATTAGAGGTCGGATTTCAGCTGACATGTGGGGGTGTAAAAAGCTGTTTCGGAGCATATCTTGCATGTTGTTTGTGCTCCCACTTAAACAGTCTGAATCCTACTTATACACACACACATTTAAGAGGGAAAAAGACTGTTACTGTAGACTTCTAAACAAGATGTAAAAAGTGTGATTTCACATTAGGAGTATTGCGTGTTAAAAAGTTAAAGAGCAAATTGCAAAATGCAGGTTAGAGACTCCCATGAACCAATGTTTAGAGAAATATAATAGAGACTTGTTTTAAAAGTTTTTTTATGCATACATAATAAGAGAAGAGAAGCAGTGTGTGTGTGTGTGTGTGTGTGTGTGTGGGGGGGGGGGGTCACAATGCTAGCTTAAACTCGTGTACTAACATTCAGATATTGTACAGATTACTATCATGTACTAGACAATTAAAATAGTATTGGTCAGTTAATATAATATTAATACTAATGAGCGTCTGTCAGCTGTCTCATACTCGTTAATATCCGTTCACCTAACCTAGTTTAGTGCTTTAGAGAGAGGGAGAGCTTCCGGTTCTGGAGCTCATGCGGGCTTCTGTGAGCTGGATCCGACCCAAACACCAGCAAGCCAGTCCAGTTGGTATTTTTAAAAGCTGCACATGATCCTCTCCTGGTTGTCTGGGCGGCGGCTCTGATCTGGTTCTGACCCGGAAACCAACTGGCCCGCTGAGCCGCGCATCTCTTCTGGTGGTCGGTTCTGACCTGGTTCTGATGGTGATCTGAGCTCCAGAAATCCACATTTCATTTTTTAAACCCCACCAAGGGTCTCCGGAGCCTAGCACGGACCACATCCCGGTACCAACCGATGTGGGCTACAGAAGTCCATCTTTCAGCTGCATAAACGCCCTCAGGCACGGATATAGAGGCGTTGTTTCTCTTATCTGGAAACCTGTGGACTCGACGTCCAGACAGGCTGGAGTTGGTACAGCCTTCACAAACTATAGTTTATCAACATGAACACAATCCAACACTAGTAAACACACACACTGACTGGATAACATGACCTCTCTATCCTAAAACTACCCACTCTCCACACTGAGCTGAGGCAGCCTAGCTTCCAACTCCCTTTGGTTTCATCAGAGGTTCAGATTTAGAAAAAAAGAGCCTTTTTAGAAGCTTTGCTGAGAAAGGCCACTTTATACTAGAAAACTGCTGTTTTAAAACCAAACATCCACAATAAGCATTTCAAATAGTATTTTTGGACAGCCTATTATATGAATTAGAAAAAAATTTTAACCTGCAAGTTGCTCTTTAATACACAACATGGAATGTTTGTGAAAGGTCAGGTGGTGGAAAAACAGCCAAAAAGCTACAAAAATAAATTAAACAGTCCAGGTCTATTCCTACTGGTCCTTACCTTGTTAGGTTGTCCAAAATACGGATTTCCAGCACAGCGCTGGTTGATGACATCTCTGATCAGGTGTTTTTGTCCATTGTAGGTGGTAAGGATGCTGATTCGCTCAGATGGATATCCCAACAGACGCATGTACATGAAGAGAGCTACGCAGTACTCTGCCTCTGCCAGATTCTTCACAGAAAAGAAATGTAATAAAAACATTAGATTGTCAATATTATACATAGCATGAAATTTATTGAAATATACAAAAATAAGCATAAAAATCAGGGATGTTTTGATCAAATTTTTGCCACCAATACAAGTAATTTGATTTTGAGTATCTACCAATACCGAGTCCCAATGTGATACTTACGTAATACATTAAAACAATAAAAAAATAAATAAATAAAAAACACATAAAAATTGTCCTTTGTTTATTCTCAATTTTATAGATCTAGATGAATCTCCTTATTGTTCTTGTGAATGTGTGACAATGTTAACTATGTGAAGTGCCTTGAGATGACTCTTGCCGTGATTTGGCGCTATATAAATAAACTTCAAAACTTGAATATTTGCCTAGAATCTGTGATATCTATAATCTTGTGATGTACTGTAAAACGTGTGGTTGTAATGTAACTCGCCTTGTAAGTTGCAGTGTGTGTGTGTGTGTGTGTGTGTGTGTGGGGGGGGGGGGGGGGGTCGTGGGCGCGGAACGTAGCCGTGGCGCTGGAGTTTCAGGCGTGACGCTGCACCATCTCCCCTTGCAGGCCAAACAAAGCTCCTGTGTCTAGTGTTTTTCTTACTCTACCAATCTTTATGAACAAGAATCTTTTCCAAGATGTCTTGGTCCTTCGAGCCGGATCACACTAAATACATGATCCTTTGTGACGGAACAAGGGACACCGAAGGCTATGCAAAGCCTATGGTAGGACTATAGACCAAAAGACTGGTGTACCACATTTGGGTAGAGACAACCGACACGTGTGTAGGTGTAACTGACTTGTGTGGGTGCAACTGATAAGTTGCCTTGTAAGCAGTGTGGTCAATAAAAGGCTGTGTGAAGGGCGAGCTCTTTGGAGAAAAGTAACTAGCTTGGCTAAGTGCTTGGCTCCCCTTACTGTACCATTGTTTATGTACAGGAATCTTTCCCAACATTTATTAACTATCTTTCAGTGTCATCTGGCTCCATGTTTTTGTCCTAATAGCCGTAGTAAACTGGGAGTATTGGAAGTGGAATAGCACATAATAGACACAGATGACTGACTGTAGCGAATCCTGAAGGGAAAAGCTGAAAGAGAAAGAAGTTTGTTTTTAAGGCAGCATATCATGCAGTGCTGCCTTTTCTACCATTAAAAATGTGCACACATTACAAGTGGCTGGTGTGCTGCCTTTGCTGTCTTGTTTAAAATCTGTCCAAAGTGCAGACATTTATGCACTCCTGAGGTGACATGTTAGCTCCGCATTAGCCTGCTAGCTAACAGGATATCTCTAACCCCGGGTTTCCACAGGAGCCGTCAGCAGCACGTTACTGCAGCAGCACGTCTTGCTCGCGTAAGCTGCTGCTTGACCCTTCCCACGAGACGCAAAGCAGCAGGAGAGCAGCTGTCACCGACCGAGCACGAAGTCACACGAGTGACTTCGTCAGTAAACACAACAACAAGCAGGAGAAAATCACAACATGGTTTGTGTTTTATGTTCTGTCCGTTTTATGATCACCAATACGGACCTGAAAAACAAAGGAGACCGCTAGCTATGTGATAACTTCTCACGGGGCCGCACAGTTAGTAACGTTTTTTAAAAGTAAAGCAACCGGAAGGCAGTACGTTCTTTATTCTGAAAATCTCGAGAGCTTCTCTCCATTTCCGCGTCCGATTTCCTGTCTTTCCTTCCCCAAAAATGTCGAAATTGACCTGTTTCAGAGGAGTCGCGCATAGAAAATAGAACCGGCGCGTAAGGGCCGCGACATGCTGCTCCTGAGACGCGGCCGACTCGCGCTGCTGACGGCTCCAGTGGAAAAGGTTCTGGTGACCACAGCGGTTCCTATCAGCAGCTATGACGTGCTGCTGCAGTAACGTGCTGCTGACGGCTCCCGTGGAAAGCCGGGGTTACTGTGTTGTTGTCATCCAAGAAACAATGAATACTCATTTAGAGATTAAAAATTAAATTAAATTAAATAACTCCTCACCCTGTTTCAGAGGGTGAGGAGTGTGATGTGTATTTGCTTAGTCATGTGACAGTGAATATAATCATCTCAGAGGTGTAAATGTGTGTGCATAATAATGTAAATTCAGCTTTAATAATGCTCATTTTATATAAAATCAGCTGATTTTAGAAGCATTAATATCAGTATATCGGTGTCGGCAAATATTGGTTATCGGCCATAACAGTGATATTAATATCAGATATCTGTATCAGCCCAAAAATTTCATATCATTGCATCACTAGTATGATGTGCTATAAAAAGGCACTGTAAAAATACAAAAATCTTGGTTCTTATAAAATGTATACTAACAAGTAAACATACTGTTAATTAACTGAAACAAAATCTTTAGGGCCTAGAAGTAGAATTCTTATTCCCAGTGTTGGTGAATGTAACCGTTAAATCTAATTTACAAATTTTCTAAATATTTTTCAGTCATGTGCATCCCAGCAAGAATATTGCCATTCCAAGTGACATAAAACAGCATGCATTATGCATTCAGTTTCAATTAAACATGTACTGCAGCCTCACATCTTTGCTAGTAATTTATGCAGCTTCATTAACGGTTCCTGTTCCAGCTGCACTGAAATCAACACATCAAAAACAATGACAGCCTTTGTTCCTCTTCCCCGCCGTTACCTGCCACCGACTGGAAGAGATATGTAATAATAAATTACTCTATGGTGCTGAAAAAACTGTTTATTCAACACAATAAATGAGAGTAATGAGTAGCATTATTTAAGTATCACATACAAGCCATGCCACCTTGTTAGTGACAAACTGACAGAGTGGGTTAGTTTCTTTCATTTGTAATTCTGAATTCATTGAAAATGAATTAGGTCACTCCTGTTTTGCGCGCGCACACACACACACACACGTCTCACACATGCACACACACGTCTCACACATGCACACACACGCACACACGCATGTCTCACACATGCACACACACACACGTCTCACACATGCACACACACGCACACACGCATGTCTCACACATGCACACACACGCACGTCTCACACATACATGTGGAATAATACGAGCAGACATCTGGTTGCCATTTCTTACTTTGCTCACTTTGAGTGAGTGCTTAACTAAATTAGATCTAATGGGGAACATCTTATCCCAACAACTAGGTCAAATTTAACTCACGGGATTCTGGAACTGTAGCCTGAGACAACATAACTGAGAGGATGACAGGATGACACGAGGTGGAAGAGAAGAGTTACACAATGTCATACAGACACAGGACAAGTAAAAGGAGGTATAAATCAAGTCCACCTTTGGGTTCTTTGTGACAGCAGCTGAAGTGAATTGTAAAATATAGATTGTGAAGTAAGGATATTACGACCAGTGATGGGAATAACGCCGTTTAAAATAATGGCGTTACTAACGGCATTCTTTTTTTAGGTAACGGAATAATCTAATTAATTACTTTTCCCACTGTTGCAACTCCGTTACCATAACTGGGGACGGAAGGTTGAGCGTTACTATGTGCTTGTCGAACGTTGAGCAGCAGTGTGAGGCTTTCTGACCGCCACACTTCAGCTGCAGCCAGGGAGAGAGAGGTGTCGGTAACGCACTTACAAACACGATGATGATTGGCCGGGTGGGCGGAGACCCTCAGTGCTCTCACTGTCTCAGTCGCTGCATGTTGTAGACCCAACAGAGCAGTGATGGGAAATAACGCTGTTTAAAAATACTGCGTTACTAAAAAAATAATTTTTTTCAATAACAAGCAAACTAATTAATTACTTTCTTCTTTTATCAAAACGTCATTTCTGTTACTGATAAGAAAATGCGTGCGTTAAGCTGCGCGGTGTGTTGAAGCTGTCATCAGCTGATCAGGAGCTAAAGAGGCAGATGTTTTTATCCAGGCGCATCACGGCCGTGAAGAACGAGGAAGACGTGATGAATAGTCTACGGCTGCAGGTGTGGATCTGCAGCCGTGCCCTTCTTAGCGTGACAGCGGGACATCCCGAAGGTCCGCTCACCTGTTCACCGCTCAGACGTCCTGATCTTCTACCTTCCTAGATCATCCAGCTGTAACCTGTTTCTGATCATGTCTTTAGTCCTGCTGTAACTCTGATGCATCAGTCTCAGACGTCATGGAGCTCAGGTGTTATTAGAACTACCTGTGTGTGTTTACCACCCAGCTTCAGCTCTTCTGTGGTTAGGTCTGACCCAAGTTAGTAAATGTAAGTCCTCCATCAGGCTTGTGCCTCTCTTAGTGTCATTTTAAAGGATTTTATTTATTTCTTTAACCATTACTAGATTACCAGCAACAGAAATGCTACTAAAAACACACAATTATGTGAAGCTGGAAAAATTAAAATGCTGTGCAAAATTACATTCATTTCTGTAATTTAACTAGACTGAGAGACCATTTAAAGGCTCAGGAACCTTTACAGGTGTTTCTATTTGCAATTTTAAATTTTAGCTGATTGGGGTCTTGTTAAATATCACACAGTGAACTTTTAATAGTCTAGATAAGTGTAAGGTTCCTGTTAGTAGTTCCTCCTGTTAAGTGCTTATTTATTTAAATTATTCAGGTTTATAAAAAAACATTTGGACATACATTTTATTATGTTCCAGTCATTAGTCATTTATATTTCACTATAGTAGTAATTTATAGTAAATTAAGTATGTTCAATTAACCAATTTTTCTTGCATTCTTTAATGAAAAAATTAACTAAGTAGTTATTTTTCTTGGTAATTAGTTACTTTTATAATCTCGTAACTCAGTTAGTAACCGAGTTACTTTTTTGACAAAGTAATTAGTAACTATAACTAATTACTTTTTAAAAGTAACTTTCCCAACACTGATTACGACTAATCATCAACAGAGGTAATTTTAATGAGAATTTAGATAAATTGTAGTTAATAGGCTGTTTGACAACAACAAAGCACCAGATAAAGCCTAGTTTATACTTCTCCATCAGCAAATTTCAGCTCTCACACACACATACTGACAGGAGACGTTTTCCTTTAAAGGAGACATAACATGAAAAACCCACTTTTTTATCCGTTAACACAGTGTGTTTCACATTTTAAGTGTCTAAGTGAGCAAAAAGGCTTATATTATTCACTGGAGTTGCTATTTAGATATTTAATAATTAAGTTTTGGGCATATTTGTCCACCCGTTCAGTTTTTACATTATCTATTACATCAGTAATTAAT